ATCAGCTACACACATGCACCCAAAGTAAATATGTAATTAATATAAAATATTTTTATTAACTCAAAGTTGAAGTCTTTTCTAAGAATTAATATTTAAAAATGGAAAATATTACCAGAAACATTTCTTCTACAAAGCAGAGGAAAAGCAAGAAACTAGAGCCAAATACATAGATTTATAGGTAAAACTATAGTGTATCTATCCATATCTATGAAATTTTAGGCCTGAAATAGTAAATACCATTTTCAATTATTTAGAAACACTCAAGACCTCCAACTGCATTAGATTAAAATATTTTTCTCAAAGAACACTGGCGTTTTGAGAGTTCCTTCTCTGGAGAGTCGTCAACAACATCTACCCCTCCTCCTCGAGCCCTAAGAACAAAGATCACCCTGGGAAGCAATGAGTTCACTGGGCTTGCTTATGGAGCATGGGGTGGGGGGGCAGGGAGGGCGGCGGTGCTAGCCGCAGGAGTGTGGCGTCCCCAAGCAGACTTACCCAAAAATCTTCACCAGCATGGATTGGTGGTTTCCTCATAGCGTGGGTGCCCCCTTCAGGCAGCTTTCCACAGCCTATTTACTCCAGTGGCTCCCAAGCCCCTGAGGCTATGTGGAATTAGGGCAGAACTGCCTCCAGATGGCCGAGAGGTGCCATGGGAATCTCAGACGAGGGTCCAATGACCCTCTCCTCTGCATCTTTCTATGAGGGAATGTTAACAGTTTACAGGTCCGCTAGTGACAGGCTACTGCAAACAGGTACAGCTGATCTGAAAGACGGTGTTTTGTTTTTGTTTTCCTTCCGAGACAGGATTTCTCTGTGTAGCTTTGGAGCCTGCTTGGAACTTGCTCTGTAGACCAGGCTGGCCTCGAACTCACAGAGATCCGTTTGCCTTTGCCTCCCAAGTGCAGGGATTAAAGGCATGCGCCACCACCGCTCAGCTGACGGTAGATGTTTTGCTCGGAGGACTGGGTGGCACAAAGAATGGGAGGAAGAAAACATTTTAGAAGAATAACCGAGGAAGGAATATCTGACCTCGCCCCATTGGTCCAGACAAGTTGGGCATGAGGAATAGGACCATGCATCCAAAGGGTGATTTTTCTGGGAATTTATAGCTTCACTCTTAATCTGTTTATAATGCCCGGTTGCATCCTGAGAGCTCAGTGCACTCCTGCTGTTGGGAAGAGCTCTGTGCTTACTGCATCTGACAATAGTAACTTGGGGGAGGTGGTTAAGGCTTTGGGTTTAGAATAAAATGGTTTTTCTTGCATAATTGGCAACAAAACTTATTTTTCAGTTCAGTAGTTCTGGTTTTATGGTGGTGCCTGGTCTAATTCTGACTTATCGACAAAGACAATGAAAATCATTTTCTCAAACGAGGTTTTAAACCTTACTGTAGGAGAAATGGTCTGATTCAGATGGGCCAAGAAGCCAGCTGGGAAGACAAACACGCCCAAGGTCACACAGCTTCTACACTGAGGAGTGAGATTCTGATCCAAGACTGCTGAACTCCAGGGTCTCGTGTAGCTCAGGAAAAACTCAGACTTGGCCTTCATGCACGCCAGATACCCAACCAAGTTACATCCTCAGCCATAGGGTCTGGGCTGTTCCCCTACGGGTTCTTCTCTACAGCCTTCTGTTGGCACCAGCCCCACTAAGGGAATGGAGCTGATGACATAGAATCCCAGCTCCAGGACAATGGAGACCAGTTTCTGTGGGTCCCAGAGGGCAGCAGCCAAGCAGCGCCAGTTAAGTCAGCCATGGGTCCTTTGTCAGAGGGCTTTCCCTCTTTGGACCACTCCTGTAGTGAGTGTCCAGGCTCCAAAGGAAGCTATGCCTCAGGGAACCTCAGAGTCTTCTGAAGCAGGCTAGGGTGAGGAGACTATTGCTGTTCTGGTAATCTGGGGACACAGAACCAGCCTGATTTAATAGAAGCAGAGGGGTGTTACCCAGAGGCACTTCTGAGGCCAAATCACCACAGACATGTGAATGTACTATGCTAGACACATAGGAAGACAATGTCAGGATTTACTGAGGGACAATACATTCACAAGGTTTCATGTTTTCAGGGAGAGCAGAGCAACTTGCATATAGTTTGTCTGCCTTGGTAGGTTGGCTGAGGCAAATGCAGGTTCTTTTTTTTTTTTTTTTAATTCTTCTCTAATATATCACATCCTGACAGTTTCCCCTCCCTCCTCTCTCCCAGTCTAATTACTATTAATGCTCATATCACACAGAGCACAGTAAATGTATCTACATATCTGTAGTCTTGGTTACTTTTCTATTGCTGTGATAAGACATCATGACCTAGGCAACTTATAAAAGAAAGCACCTAATTTGGAGACTCACAGTTCCAGAGGATAAGTCCATGACCATCATGGTGGGGAGCATGGCAGCAGGCAGGCAAGCATGGTGCTGGAGCAGTAGCTGAGAGCTTACATCTGATCCACAAGCACATGGCAGAGAGAGGAGAGAAAGGAGAGAGAGGAGAGGAGAGAGGAGAGAGGAGAGAGGGGAAAGGGGAGAGAGGAGAGAAGAGAGAGGGGAGAGAGGAGAGAGGGGAGAGGGGAGAGAGGAGAGAGAGAGAGAGAGAGAGAGAGAGAGAGAGAGAGAGAGAGAGAGAGAACTGGGAATAGTGTGGGCTTTCAAATCTCAAAGTCAGTGACACACCTCCCTCAACAATGCCCCGCCTCCTAATCCTTCCCAAACAGTTCACCAACTGTGTGTGGACCAAGCATTCAAACATAGGCTATGGGGGCCATTCTTATATGAGGGTTACAGAATGAATACAGGTTAAAGAGGCTGCATGCAGCAGTTTGAGAGTCTGTAGTGATGATGAACCACGGAGTGCCTGGAGGGAGCTGCTGGAATCAGGTCTGAGAGCAAAGCTGCAGAGCACAGCTGCTAGGTGAAAGACTAAACCTTTCTGAAGCAGGATATGGGTCAGGAGCAGGAAACAGGTGACCAGGACCAAGTCCAGAGGGGCAGACAAGGGGGATAGTCAGGCAGTCAAGTAGGCCTTGTCAACAGCCAGGGGCTGAATGTAGCTGAAGCTCTAGGGACTCGGAGGGTCCTCAGTCTTCGACCTACACACCAGGTATCAGACAGGAGGTTGATGTGAGACTGCTGTCTCAGTGGCAGGTGTCCATCACCCATAGGATCCAGGGAAGAGTTCCACCCTTTCCTTGGTTGACGTGTCCAATAAAGTCTTGGACCTGGTTCCCCTGGTTTTCTTCCTTTTTTTTTTTGGTTTTGGTTTTTCGAGACAGGGTTGTGTAGCTTTGTGCCTTTCCTGGAACTCACTTGGTAGCCCAGGCTGGCCTCGAACTCACAGCGATCCGCCTGGCTCTGCCTCCCGAGTGCTGGGATTAAAGGCGTGCACCACCACCGCCCGGCGGTTTTCTTCGAGGCAGGATTTCATCCATCCTGCCTCTGCCTCCTGATGTGATTTTAACACTTCCATGTGCCCCGTCCCCCCAGTCTTAATTCACTCCAGTCAGCTTACAGGGTGGCACCCTTCCTATTCCCAGGAGTAAGTCACTTATTAATCTGCACTGAATGAGTGGTGTCTGGCAGATGGTATTTCTAGGTCCACCCAGAGACCATGGTCATCTTTCTCCCTCAAAATGGAGTAAAAAAAAAAGTTTATAGGGAACCGGAGAAATGGCTCAGTGCTTACAAGTGTTTGCTGCTTTTCCAGGACTAGAGTTCAGTTCCTAACACCCACATCAGGCAGCTCTTCTGGCCTTCAGAATATCTCCATGCATGTGGTGCACATATGTACACACAGGCACACATACATTTTTAAAGTTGCTTATAAAATGAAGTCTCCTAGAGCAAGGCACAGCCTGGAATGCTAGTTTTATACCATATGGAGTAACTGAGAGAGGGACATGGCCTGATCACAACAGAAACCACTCTACGTGTTTTCTCTGGCTTTCCCAAGGCCTGCCTTCTGGTGGACTATTTACTACCTGCAGTCCTGGGAACTTTCAAGTAGGAAAAAAAAAATTTTTTTTTTTTTTGATGGATTCTTGTCACTTGGGGACAGATTTGAGCGCTACTGGTGTTCTGGAAAAGTGCAGATATATCACCACATGCCTTCTCATCTGCACATCATAGAACGAGCGGTGTGACCTGCACCCATTCAGCACATCCACATTCTTAGCTCACCAGGAGTTATTGCCCCCCTCCATCACTGCACTTGCCTCTGCCCACAGCACCCCAGAGGTCCTCCGAGAAGCAGGGCGGCCCAGGGCCTGCGGGCTCCTGTCTTTCAGGAAATCTTGCCTGGTCTGCGTTCTCCTTGGTTTCTCCACACTCTGTGCAGACACTAGCACTGCACTTCACACCACAGGGACAAACGTAGTCACGGGATTTTCTTGCAAGAGGGCATTTTGTCTCTGCATTCTCAGTTCACTGACTTTAGGTACACTTCACACACTCATTAAAGCTTTCTTTCTTTCTTTCTTTTTTTTTTTTTTTTTTGAGACGGTTTCTCTGTGTAGTTTTGGAGCCTGTTCTGGATCTCACTCTGTAGACCAGGCTGGCCTCGAACTCAGAGATCCACCTGCCTCTGCCTCTCGAGTGCTGGGATTAAAGGTATGCGCCACCACTGCCCAGCCATTAAAGCTTTCTTACAATGCTTATCAAAATATATTATTTATTAAACATAAAAATTCAGCCTGGTGTGGTTTTAATCCCAGTACTTGGGAGGCAGAGGGAGGTGGATCTCTGTGAGTTGGAGGTCAGCTTAGTATGCATACTGAATTCCTGGACAGGGCTATGTAGAGACCTTGCCTCAAACAAACAAAAAACACAAAACAAAAATAAATTAATATTCATAGTCTTCTTGTGTATTTAAAAAAGCCTCCAGGAATCTGCCATGAATTACAAAAGCCTTGAGGAATTGGCCTTTGGTTTGGACGGTTTTCCAAATTTCTGCTTAATATATTTGTATTAAATATATGTTACTGAGCAAAAAGAAAGGACACAAGGCTACCCACTATGGTTGGTAGAAGGATTTATTAAGTGGCTGGGGGAGGTCTTCCCATTCCAACAACAGCAAAGCACTTTCCACACCTTACCCACCCCAGTGTTTACAACTCTGACCCATGGCTGCAGTTTCACACTGGGAACACCTTCCTTTCAGAGTTCCACACAGGGACATCTCTTCCTCTAGAAATAAAACTTACATTTCAACTCAAAAGGTAACAAATACATCCCGGTTTTTGCAACATTTGGTAAAAGTTTGCCACAAAAACCGTACATAGCAGCATGCTGCCTACTGGAGACCAGGCTAGCCTGGGCAAGCCTTGCAGGAATGCTTTAGCATATGATACTGCAGTTTTCACATATGACAGGTGGAGCTGCACCACAATGAAGGAGTCTCATTGCTCCAGTTCCAGACACTGGACTCTAGCACAGGAAATGTCTCTTGGAGTTTAGTAAATATACAAATAGAAAAAAAAAATGCCTTAAGAAAAGTTTCACAAATGACTAACCATCTGAAATGTTTTTTATCACAGCTTTTATATATTATAAAGCTCCCCCCACCCCCACGGAGTCTTTGATGAAATAAAACCTAGTCACTATCATCTGATCCACGTTCCGAGCCTCGGTCTGAGGCCTCATTGTTTGAGCCCTCTGGTTCCGATTCATTTCCAGAGCCTTGGCCAGATCCCTCGTTATCGGATCCCTGCTCCGATTCACGGTCCGACTCTGCACTTGGAGAAGCCGGGCGAGAATCATTTTCTGAACCTCCGGAGGGGCTTCTCCCAGACTGCGCTGACTCATTGTCCGACTGCTCAGAGCCCGAACGCCTTCTCTTTCTGGATGGCTGGTCACTGTCGGAATCCTCATCCGACTCCTGTCTTCCCGACCTTGGAGGGCTGCCTGCCTCGCTGCCAGACTTGTTCTGGTTGTCATCTGACTCGCTCTCAGAGGAGGCCCGTCTATTGGGTCGCTCGTCATCATCAGAATCACTGTTGCTATTCCTGGGATGTCTGAGGAGAGAGGTATAGGTGAGACACCAGGGCAGCCAACAGCACTTCCTGTTCTGGGTCATGCCTGGTGCCTTACACAGGGGCCCCTGGGACACTGTAAATGTGGGCTTCTCAAAAGGGCACAGGGTGGGAAGTCCTTAGTTGACCATATCAACAAATCCTAGACACAAAGGTGAAATGCTGGACCTCTGATGGTGGCTGAGACTTAGGAGTCCTAAGATCGGAACAGCAGGCCCTTTCCTGTCCTAGAACACCCCTGTCAACAGACACCTTAAGAGTCTTGTCAACAGACACCTGAAGAGTCACCTCACTGTTGTTCTGGCATTTCTGAAGGTACCAGGTCTTCACCAGGATGAGCTTTATCAGACATAAGCTGGGGCGAAGGGACTAAGCTTACTAACTTTTGTTCCCAAGTTCCCCCTGTTGGTTGACATGTGTCAGGGAAAGTAAGGCCTCCTGGAGCTTCCACAGGTTAGAAGCACACCCTTGACCACTGGGAGGCTGCCTCCTCAGCCATGTGCTGCTCTGGCATATTCCACAGCTTTGGTTTCCAGGATACCTTCTGGCATGCCTCAGACCAGGAAGGGTGAGGAAGGTGGAGTGTGTTCCTCTCTCAGAAGGGAAAACATCCCTACAGACTCAAGAGAGGCTCCTTGTGCCGAGGTCTGAAAGAAGAAACCATACATGCACGCGCTAGCCCAGGTCACTCTGAGAACATGGAGCTGTGACCAAGCGATGGCACTGATGTTTTCTCTGCAGATCCACTCAAGGTCAGTGGGTCACTTCATTCAGCTGCCCCAGTGCTCAGATCTTTCATGACGGCTGGGACTCAGGAGTTTCATGTTGAACTGATGTAAATGGCACCAATAAATTTGGCCTTGAGTATAGGCACAAGCCTGGCAGCAGCTCAGCCTCACAGACTTATTTTTTGAAAATTCTGCATCTCTTCCACTGGCCTCAGACCTCTAACCAACAGCCCCGGGGGAACACTGTGAGGACAGGGGCAAAGCAGCCCTTCAGGGAAAAGCAATCCAGCTTTGTGTCAGCCAGTATCGCCAGAGCAGAGGAGACCACAGGCAGGCTCACAGACGGTGTCTCCTTTGACCACCACACTCCCTCTCCACCTACCACGGCACTTGCCAAAACCAGGAGCTACCTCTACCACCTCCGGGGTGGGTGTGCTCCCCAGAGCAGAAAATGGAATGTGAGGTGGACACACACAACCCACTGCAAGGTTTGGGTCTGTTACTCTCCACGGCAGCTAAAGAAGTTCCTTGGGGAATTCCTGAGCCTGTCTTTACCTCTGTATCCTCTTCACCTGTCAGTTTCTCAGGAGGGACATCAACAGGATGAATGATGAAACAACAGAGGAATCCTGGGAGTGTGGTAGAGAAAGCTCTATTCCAGGAGTCTAGGGGTGGGCCTGGGAGCTCCAGAGGCTAGCACAGTCAGGTGTCACTTCACCAAGGCTAGGAGCTCAGGGTAAATTCTGGACAGGCTGTCTAGGATAAATCCACCAAGGAAGGCCAAGGTGTGTCACCTACCCATCAGGGGAAGAAATGGACACTAAATCCCTCATCTCAAGGCCAGGGCCAGACTACTCCTAGTACTGCTAGCCAGTTAGTCCTGGGCAGCAGAATGACACTTTGCTTAGGAGTAGTTATGCCCCCAGGAAACATCAGCCAAGTTTCTGAATGAGATGAGATGTCTGTTATGGTTTCTTCTAGCTACAAGAGGCCAAGACAGCTAGGCACGGAGTACAAGTCTGAGGCAGGAAGTCACTGAAATACAATGCCAGCCTGAAGCTGGTGAGAAGACAGCACGGCACACTGACCACCCCCAGTCACCTGTTCTCCAACTCTGTTCTCCCTCGTAGGACGACAGAGACAAAGAAGAGGATGCAGACAGCTGGTTAGCAGCCACTGTGGCTCTGAGCTGCTAGAATTTAGCCTGGGGAAATTCCTGCCCAGACTGGAGCTTACCACCATTGGAACTTAGTGGGGACGGAGTGCTTCTTACCCTTCATCAGCAATCTTCAGTTTATCCTCATCTGAAGAATCGTCGCTCGATGATATAATGGCTTTGGATTTTATTTTTCCCTTCATTGAAGGAGGCAGGCGTTCTGGCTTGGCCTAGAGAATGTCAAGCATGGCCCATTAGTTGAGGTTCTCACGTTACTGGGCCATCTTATTAGACAGGTTTTATAGTAACAGATCAGCAGCCACCAGTGGAAGCAAGCATCTGTGGTGGGAGAAGGTGCAGAAGTGCACTGCAGCACGCTTATACTGTCAGCCTTATAAGCCCTCCTCCCGGGGTGGGTGTCGGGGAGCAGGAAGACAGCTCTAGAACTTACAGCCTTCTTCTTCTCTGCTCTTGGTGGACGGCGTTTCTTTGGTTTGGGGCCATTTTCTGTATCATCATCGTCAGATCCTTCTTCTCCCTTCTGAGGTCTTAAACAGTGAACATCAAGAACTTGTCAGGAGGTTCTTTGAGGCTACTTTGCCATCCATCACAGTAGAACCTTCCTGTGTGGATCTGACCTCAGTTACACTGTGGGTTCAAGGGCACAGGGCACAGAGTCTACACATCACTGGTCTGCTACTAACTTGTCACTGTGCAGCTCCCTCCTCCATCTCCACGGCAGTCTGTGCTGGTGCAGGGACTGAGTGAGGAACGCCCTGGGTTTGGATCTCCAAATCTTCCCCTACTCTCCCTCCCTTCCTTCCTCCCTCCCTCCCTTCCTCCCTCCCTCCCTCCCTCTGTTCGTTCGTTCCTTCCTTCCTTCTCTTCCCTTCCCCTTCCCCCTGCTACCACGATCCTCACCACAGCTACACAGGGACAGTCTGAATGGATTCACAGGTTCTTTCTCAAGGATAACTGGCCAAGAGATAGGAAGGGCAGACAGGCCTGGGTGAAATAGCTGAAAGGAGACTCCGGGCAGGAAAGCTTGGGGCACCCTGTGACAGATGGCAGTGGGTGGGTACAGAGCACTTTCACCTCCATTCACCCACATTCCAGAGAGGAACGGGCTCAGTGACCACCAGTGTGCTGCACTGGCAGTTAGTACAGCTGCCACCCAGGTTGCTCACTTCACATTTGTGTCCAAAATACATTACAAGAAAAGAAAACTGGTGTGGTGGCGTACATCAATAATCCCAGTGCTCCTAAGCCAGAGACAGGTAGATCTCTGAGGTCAAGGTCAACCTGGGCTACATAGTGAATTCAAAGCCAGTATGAGGTACACAAGACCCTATTTCAAAAAACAAAATGACAAGAAAGACAATGGTGACTGTCGGCTGTTTTCAGGGGACAATGTAGAGATACTGCAAACTAAGTGCCTGGATACTGAAATAGGTTGAAGCAGGGAGTCAGTGTGGGAAGATGGAGATGTATAATTCTGAAAAGAAAGGTCTCCTGGCTTTACAGATACTTAGAGCATTAATGAAGACACTACCTTCTCCTCCGCTTCCTCTTCCTCTCTCCACCTTCCTCCTCTTCGCCTTCCGGTTCACTGCCACTGCCCTTCCTTCTCTTCTTCTTTTTGGATATAGGGAGGTCGTCATCGGTGTCGTCATTGACAAACTCATCAAACTCGCCTCCTTTCTTAGAACGCTACGGCCCAAGGAGACCACAGTCAGCTACTTACAGGTAGGTAGTGACGGCACCTCCAGGTGCTGAAAGCTGTACAGTGCCTTTGCAGGTCTCTGACAACTGAGGACCTTTTATTAAGTCACATGGATGAGGGGCTTGGATAGGCCCGAATTTCCAGCACTTGTCAAGAGAAGCCCATTGTTTCCAATTTGGCAAATATCATCAACTACCTGAGAAGTCACCACAAGGTAAACACATCTTCAGTCAAAAATGCATTTAACCCATTTAGCCCCACAGAATGTAGAAAAGTATTGGTTGTTCGCCCTCGTGATCATGTGCCTGACTGGGAGCTGTGGGTCTCTGCAGCCACCCAACATCACAAAAGAACTTCACACCAAATACCTCAGCTTGGCAAAAGACCAAGATTCAAAGTACAGTTCTACCAAAGGCTCATTTTTACACTATGCGAAGTCAAGGAAGTGTAGATCAAGCCATCATGAAAGCAGGAACCATCTGGTTGGCGAGGTCAGCAGTAGAACTGCAGAGCATGGATGTGTTAAGACCTGTGTTCCTCCACAGCACCACATACACCACAAAGGCAGGGGCCACTGCCTACACCAGCCACTGCAATTCTGTGGTGGAAGACTATCCCTTGGTAGAAGTCAAGGCTAAGAACTAAGAGCAGAGCCAACCAGACTCTGCTGTTCATTTCGGAAAGCCCAAAGGCAGACTCTGAGGTCACTGCAGACATGGGGCTGGATCTTACCCGTCCTCCACCTCCACCTCTTTTCTTCTCCTTTGTTGCTTCAGTCTCGCCAGTGAACATGAGGATATTTTTGGTCTTCTCCACATACTGAGCCCGCTGCTCCAAAAGTTTCTTTTGCTCTTCCTTTTCTCTGAGACGTTTCTCTTCCTAAGAGGCAGTATGGGGACTTATCAAAATGTCCTTAAAATGAACAAAACAACCACAGAGTAGACAGAGGACTAGCTCCTAACCCACAGCATGTGCACGCACCTGCTCTTTGAGAAGCTTCTGTCTTAGGAGCTCCTTCTCCTGCTCCTGCTTGGCCCGCAGCTCCCGTTCTTCCTCATCCTGCTTGCGTGCCCGGGCCACATGGTACTGGGCCTGGCTCAGTAAGTCAGAGCACTGCCTAACATTTCAGATGCAGAGAAACGCATCACTTAGGATTAAACCCACACCAATGCTATCAACTGTGCTAAGTTCCCCAACTCAGGATTCCTGTCTTGATTCAGTGACAGGTGGCTCAGGCTGGTACTCCCATCCCTCGGAGGATCCTGAGTTCTAGCCTGGCTGCAGAGCAAGACCCTGCTTTAAAAAGACAACAGAAAGAAAGAGAAACGATTTCTCCACAACCTAAGTGCTAATGGTCCATCAATTTCCTCAAAGTCTGAGAAGATGCTGTAGGAGAGGGAGTAAGTAACCCCCAAGAAGGCCAGGATCCACCGTGTTATGGCCACACTTTCCTGATCCACACCAATACAGCCACTTCCCCCAAAGCCACCTCTGTAAATAGGCATTACCTGGCTTCAGAGGCAGCAAGGGCCAAATCGAATCTCATTTTATCTCCTACTTTACTCAAGTAACTGAAGTATCTAAATGAAAAGGAGAAGACATTTCACTTAATCTGCATCATTAATAGCCTCAGTATGTTTAATAAACAGAAGTTCATCAAGAAAGGCAAAAATGTATTTAATACTGTCAGTAAACTAAGAGATAACTAACAACAGGTCGTAAACAGTAGACTGACTAAGTAACTGTATCAGCACGGTGGGTGGGGTTTAGCACTAACACTTCACCTGATCACTCAGAGATGTGAGCTTTTTATTTTACCACACATTGAACTGCTAAGTCCTATAAGGATAAACACATTTGAACTGAGCTGAATAAATCTGGTAAGCAGTGAGTGATAAAAATCTTAATCCTAACTTGATGAAAATCAACATCCCACAAAGACATACTGGTACAAAACATGAAACCACACAAGTGGAGACTAAACAGTTCACATGTGTAACGTGCTAGCTCGTACTCCTGAGAGATTAATGAAAACTCTAGGGCAGGCCTGCAGCCAGCCAGCCAGGGTCAGAGATCAGGCTTCAAGAGCCCAGTGTGGCAGAACTCTGCCTGGAGTTTGGCGCCACCACATGGTAACTGTGTGCTTTCGCCTAAACAAACCTGTGCTAGACCTCCAATGGTTATTCTTTGAGGGAAGTCATTTTTTTTGTATCTTTTGAGACAGTTTCAAGGAAGCAAACCATTGAAAAGCCATTCTTCTTCTTCAAAATTATTACCTGTGTGCAAGCTCCAGCTCTTTCACAGCATTAAGGACTTCCTTCAGATTACTCTTTTCATCTTTCAGAACAGAGGTAGCTAATCTTTGCAAGACCAAGGCCACATTAAACATCAGAACTGTATCACTGGGTGCCACATGTCTGGCCTGTAAACAGAAAGCAAAGCAAATAACTTACGATTGAATGCCACAGAAGGGATTTTAACAAGGAAAAAGCAAGAAGCGAGCGGTTCAGGAGCAGTGGGCGGGCACAGGAGTCCTTTACCTTCAGCAGGGTTTGCTTACACTCCTGTAACTTGCCACACTTGAAGAGGGCCCGGGCCAGGTAGAGCACGACTTCAGTGTTTTGGTGCTTATAGAACTTTCTGAGGCAGTTCTCATACTACAAAAAGGAAATGTTAGTCAGAGACACAGCGGGGATGAAGTATATTTTCACGCTATGTCCGGATCTCAAAGCAGTTTCCAAGCTCTGAAGACACTCCACTCCGATGAATTTCAGAGAATATCTGACATTTGCCAGCATACACTTTTACAACATAAAAATCTGACCACAGAAAAATTAGACGCAAAATATTTTTTCACTTGAAATTTGGATCAATGCTGAATGGAAGGGTAAAGAAATTGAAGTCTGTCTGTCTGTCTGCCTCCCCTTTAGCTTATATCTTTAGAACACTATCTAGAATCACTTTGCTAACCACCATGACAGATTACACCCTGGATCCTGTGGGTGACATACTTTAGCATTGTCCTCTTGGGATCTGTGGAATGAGCATAGGAAGTTAATTTGTTAACTTCAGTTAATTTGTTGGTCAGACTAGCAAATGATTATCTGACTTAATTTTTTTTTTTTTCACTTTTTACTCTAATATGCATGACATGTACCTCACGTATATGGCGGGAGGTGTGGATGCAGAGGCCACTTGCCACCTTATCCCCTTGAGACAGGACTTCTCATGGAACCTAGAGCTTGCCACACACACATTGCCCCTTGGTTTGCGGCCCCAGTGATCCTCCTCTCTCTACCCCGACAGCACCGAGATTACAAACAGGCATCGTCAGATTTGACATGGGTGCTAGCAATCTCAACTGTTAGGTCCTCATGACCATGCAACAAGTGCTCTTACCCACTGAGTCACTTCCCCAGCCCCCCAGAGTTAAATTTTATTTAAACACGACACTTTAACCACAAGCATACACCCTGTTATAGGTAACTGACAAAGTAATTTCATGGGAAATGGTAAGACAGTTTTTCCAGGAATATCCATAATGACTAATTTGCATTTCTAGAAGGCAATGCTGCTATTCTACAGATTGGGATGGTTTATCTCCCAGCACCCATGGTCAGGTGGTCCACAGCAGCCTGTAGCTCCAGCTACAGATCAAAGCCTTCTCTGACCTCCTCAGGCACCATGGCATACTTTCATACAACACATGCCCACATAAAAGTAAAAAAATACTAAAAGATAAGCCATTTAAGCTGGGTAGTTGTGGTGCACACCTTTAATCCTAGCACTCGGGAGGCAGAGACAGGTGGATCACCGAGTTCGAGGCCAGCCTGGTATATAAAGTGATGCAGGACAGCCAGGGATACACAGAGAAACCCACCAACAAAACAAACACAAGCCATTTAAACTAAAGGCAGTTGTATGAGATTGTAATCCCAAGTACTTGGGAGGCTGAAGTGGGAGGACACTTAAACACAGGCACTTAAGATCAGCCAGGGCAATAAAGAGACTGTTAAAAAACAAACAACACAACAAAACAAATTAACAATAAAATCACTTAACATTTCTGGAACTCGATTCACTTCAGAAACTGAAGGAATAAATACTAAACCCTGCTGTTTAGTGGATACTTGTTCTTCATGTTAGTGCCCAGTTCTTTTCATTCCAGATCCTCACAAAGTTCTCTGAGGTCAAGAGACTTCCACTTTACAGAGAGGGAAATGGTCAAAGAGGAGAGTTTCTGCCTATGGCATGCATTCCTGGAACTGGGACTCACATCTACCTGGCCTTGTCATTACATGGTTACAAACCTCTGAACAGACAGTATCAGAGGAGATCTCAAAAGTCCATGATGGGGTCAGAAGGGTTAAGGAAGCATTGGCTCCCCACGACCTGCAAATATCTGGAGAGGCAAAGACGTTACCATCTGAACAGCGCTGATGTACTGCTTCTGCTCCACGTAGATATGTGCTAAGTTCAGCCACACGTCACTGATATCTGCTGTTGCTTCTCTCACTTGGGCAAACACATCACGGGCTTCACGGAAGTATCCTTTGTGGGCCAATACTGCTCCTAAAGTTACACAAAGGCTGACACTGAGACTGCCCTAACCTCTGCCAAAACCACTAAAAGTCCAGTATTAAAACAGCTGCCCCATCAGGAAAAACAAGAGCACTACTTTCACCAATCCCTATGGACCAAGGCTCCTAGTTACCTATGCCATTGGCAGCATACAGGTTCTTGGCATCATTTCTGAGGACTTGTTTGTAGATGGCCAGGGCACGGTCTTGATGACGCTTTTCCTATAGGAAAGAATAATTACTGGAAAACTCAACAAGGACAGGGACACCAATCTTGCTGAAGGAGACAGGGGATTACCTTTTCTCGGTCTCGGGTTGGCTGGTGCAAAGTCTGGAGCCACACGTTGCCAAGGGCCAACATAGAGTAAGTGTCACTCTGTGTGGCTGGCTGTTTTAATATCCTCTCAAACTTCTTCTGGCCTGGGCCCCACTCTTGTTTTGCCAGATGGAGGTTACCAATCAAAGACCAGGCATCTGGGTGATCCTATGTAAATATAAAGAAGCAAATTTTCCAATCCAGGATCTGAGAACTCAGTCATCTTACAATGACTAATAACTGAAGAGGTTCACAGCTACATTACAATGGTGGTTTTCAGACTGCCAGTTGAGACCCATTAGTGAGTTACAAGATCAACTTAGTGTCTTATCAGCACACCAAGTCAACAGAAGGGACTGAAGTAAACAACAGTGCACTGGCCGGCAGCTGGAGCAGATAACAACTTGTAAACCTGTCTTTCAGGGCTCTGGGCTGCAGTGTGCAGTCTCCTCTTCCTGTGAGCCACAATCAGAAGCTCCAATCACCTACGGAATGCTGAGACACCGACTCCGGGCTGATGCAGGGGAAAGGACAGGACGCAGACAAGGAAGGGAAGGATGAGAGGGAAACAGCTCTATATACTCAAAAAACTGACGCCGATTCAGACGTGACTACTCACACACACTATTATACTCCTTACAGTCTTTAACAAGTGGAACAAACAAACAAAACCGAACCAAGCCACTAAAAACAGATGCCATGGTTATTAGAGACATCAGAGCCATTAAACGGACAGACTGATTTTGAAAGGTGAAAGGTGACACCACCAACCTGATTGATCTGAAGGGCTTCCTTAAACCAATCTGAAGCTTCATAGAAGTTTCCTTTATCTCTGGCCATGGCTCCTAGGCGAAGATAGCCTGAAAGTGCACATTTAATTCATCTTCACTATCTCCTCTCTAAAGGGGCCTAACCCCGAAGTCTACTTTTGGAACAGTCATGTTTTGTTAATACTTTCAGTCAGAGAAGAGAAAAGCCTCACATATGAAGACACATGACACATCACTCTAGGCAAAAGAGAAACTGCATCACTAGATCAATCTTCCTTTTTTTCTTTTTTGAGACAGGGCCTTAGTATGTACCTCTGGCTGGCCTTGAACTCAAGAGAGCTCCACCTGCCTTTGCCTCAGGAGTTCTGGGATTAAAGATGTGTGCACCACACCTGGCTGGGACCACCATGCACACAAATACTGATGTCCTCTCAAGCTGCTCTCTGAAATGGCTGCTCAGTCACCAACAGTATGAGCATCAAGTAGTGGGATGATTCACATCCTGGGCCAGGTGGAGCAGAGCAACATAAGATTTCATCACGACACTTAGAATGGTCCACAATTTGAAATTATGGGTTACTTATGGAATTTTTCATATAGTATTTTGAGAGCAGAATTGAGTATAGGCAAATGAAACCATGGAGAGTAAAACCTTAGAAAAGGAAGAACTGCTAAAAAGCATATAGGTTAATTTTAAATGTCAAAGAGTTACAGTGCCTGTTGTAAAAATTCAAACCAGCACATTTTAGTAATACTTGTTTCAAGAAAAAACCAAAAACCAAAAACCAAAAAACAGTCTTACTATCACACCATGTAAAAATGTTGGTGCAAAGTCAAAGAAGGTAACTCACAAACTCTACTCATTATAAAACAGGCCAGGGAGCTGCAGCTGACTCACTAGGCAGAGGCACAAGCTGCCACTGAACACGGCTCAAGTGGCTTTTGCTGATCCTTGTATTTCCCAGTATTAGTACATGAGACTGCACCTGTTTTATTCCACTTTATTCCACACACAGCCAGGGGGCCTCAAACCTGCTAGACAGGGAGACTGGCCTGAATCCCTGATGCTCCTGCCTCTGCTTCCTGAGTGCCAGGATTCTAGATGAGAACTACCAAACTAAACTGCATCTTTTTTTAAGGAGACAAATTTGCCTTGGAGAAAAGGGAATATTAGACCCTTTAAAAAAATATTACTGGTTCTAACAAAGACTTTCTTTTCTAAGTAAATTTTCTATTATGAGAATTTAGGAACTTTATCGCACAAAAGAAATCTGGAATTCTTACAGTCAACATAGTTAGGATGCTCTCGTAAAATGTTTTTGTACAGTTTCTCTGCTTCATGGAATTCACACATGGCCTCGTAGAGCCTGGCTAAGTTGTAGGAGGTGGTAACAGAGATGGCGTTATAATAGTGTTCATCGTGCTCGGCTTCTGCCTTTGCACGGTCCAGTGATGCCAAGAAGTATTTCTGTGAGAAAGAAAACACATTGTTATTGGCCATGGCTGACCGAAGTGCCTGCAGCTCGGTCAAGCATAGACAAAAAGGAAGGTTTCTGTTTCCCCACCTTTGCTTCGCCTAGGTTTCCAAGTCTAAAATGGAGAGCCCCAACGTTATTCAGAATTTCAGGAGGGACATCGGCCTGCACCTTCTCCTGCAGGATGCGGGTGGCTGTTCCATAGGCTGAAAGGGCACCCTGCATTTTTATGGTGGACAGAGTAAGGTTCACTCACAGATCAAAGAGAAACACATCATTTAGGATATGAAAAGTAGACATTAATACCTGTATGTCAGTCTGTTCTAAGATCTGGGCCAATTCAATCCAAGCTTCCACATCATCAGGATACTGTTCTGTGACCTTCTTCAAATGGCCCTGCAATGAGATCATTAAAATAATGCTGTCAGTAAAAAACAAAACAAAAACCCACATCTTCTGTAACGTGTTCCCACTTCTCAGAGTCTCAGGGTAGTTAAGATTTACAACATACCTTCGCTATGTCTCGTTTCTCCTGATCTTCTGAAGCAGCATAGAGAGAGCCAAGAATTTTCATAGTTTCATAATTGTTGGGATAAGCTTTCAAAACTTTCTCGAAGCACTGAGATGCATTCTCTTTGTCACCTCGATAAATATACATTTGTCCCAAACCAAAAAATGGTAGTACAAAGGAGGATGACGCAAACTGTGTGGCTTGGTAGTAGTACTGAAAGGCTTGGTCATAATCTTCCTAGTAAATGAGAATAAAACAAGACAAGTAACAGATCCAGCAGTGCTGGAAAACTGAAATCTGTAACTAGAAAGACTAACTATTTAGCAAGGTGGACAGTCTTACCTGAACGTGGAATGATCGAGCCAGCTGGTAACAGCTTTCTGCCTGCATAGCCTCCACCTCTGTGTTGTGGAACGCATGGAGAGCCAGGTGCTGCACTTTACTATAATCCTGAAGTGGAGGACCAGAAAAATCAACTGAGTGATGTCAGAAGACTGCCTGAATAGTCGTTTATTTTAATTGGTAACATTTCAGTTAGCTATAAGGTATATTTTTCATCTTCTCCCTAAATAAACTTTAGCACTGTAGCAGTTATAACCTAATGCTTAATGAATAATCAGTATGCTTCCATAAATTCAAGAAGTAAAACATCAAACAGGACTGATGCAGCATTATTAAGCTCTAAGCTATTAACTCGGCCTCAATTTATTCATCAAGAAAAAGGGCACAGGCTGGAGATAGCTTAGTTGGTAAGAGCTATGCAGTCATGGGGACATGAGTGCAGGTCCATCTCAAAAAATGAGGAGAGAGGGACTAAAGAAATGACTCTGCTGCTCTTGCAGAGGACCCAGGTTAGGTTTCCAGCCCCGACATGGTGGCTTACAACCTTCTGTAACTCCAGTTCCAGGGGATCCAATGCCCTCTTCTAACTTCCATAGGCACCACACACCATGTGGTGTACATACATACATGTAGGCAAAACACTCATAAACACAAAAGATAAAAAATAAAATCTGCAAAAAACAGGTAAAGGGTGATTGAGGAAAATACCTAACACCAACCTCTTGCCTCCACACAATTGTGCACTCATATGCACATGTGCGCACACCCACTCAAGGAAAGAAGGAAGGAGGAAGGGAAAAGGAGGGAGGGAGGGAGGGAGGATAGATGGATCAGACTATTTACCTCACAGGGTAGATGTGACCATTACAGAAGTAAGGACTGGGAATGCACTTTTAACAATGCTTGGGATTTAGTTAGCACTGAGTACATACATGAGTGACAGCTCATATTAGTAAGGTTGATACATTTTTGTCAAGTTTTACCTAAACTTGTTACACAAGTATTTTAAAGTTTATAGTACAGTTTAGTCCCTGGTTCCAAGAAGGCAGGTTAAACTTTTCTGTTTATTGTGTGAAAACTTTGTCACTGGTGAGTGAGATAGACATTTTCTTCAGCAGTGTAGCCTCTGGTAAGCTGCCCATAAGCTTGTAGACAACCCCTCACCCAAATTGCTACAAGCAATCCTACTTAGACCCATGGGGTCACCAAATAAAAGACAAAAAAACAGAGGGACTAATTGAAAAGAAGAAGGGATCAGCAGGAGGAGGATGAGAGGGGAATGGAGGTATATGAGCAAGGCATATTATATACATATATGAAAATGACACAGTGAAACCCATTATGTATGATTAATATGCTAATAAAAACTTTAAAAATGAAAAATTTTATCAGCAGTATCTTGGATTAGGTATGTTAAGAAATATAAAACACCGTTGCTTCCACAAAATTGTTGAAATTAATAGGCAAGATCAACAGGTAGAAATAAAGAGAACCCCCACTGACTCTGATCCTATACAACTACAGCCAAATGCTATGAAGCAAGGGCTCCCCTATCTGGGCCTAACACAGCACCTGTTGTAGTCTATCCATGTGATGTTCTGACTTCTCCAAAGGCTAAGGGTCTCTTCAGGCCCTGCCTTTCCTCTTCCAACTACCTAGAGACAGCCAGTCTAACACAAGTTAAAAGCTTCTGCCCTGTGGGGAAACCTCCCCTTCCCACTTGACTACTTCCTTATTTCTCTGTGAGCAGAGGCCTTTCCGTTCACATTCACATGTGCTTACATGCCTGCTTCTTTGAGTGCAGAAAGCAGTCTTACTTATCTTACATCCGATCACAGGCTGCACTCAGCACAAAGTGCCAATACAGATTAAGTCAGAGAATGAATCAATATGTACTCATCCCTGGGCAACTAACACAAGCTCTAATTTGGGAATAAAACAAGAACAAGCCGGGCGGTGGTGGCGCACGCCTTTAATCCCAGCACTCGGGAGGCAGAGCCAGGCGGATCTCTGTGAGTTCGAGGCCAGCCTGGACTACCAAGTGAGTTCCAGGAAAGGCGCAAAGCTACACAGAGAAACCCTGTCTCGAAAAACCAAAAAAAAAAAAACCAAGAACAAAGTAACATTTTCAAATTTCTTCCCAAGTTAAACCAAAATCATGTACTGACTACATTCAGAAAAACCAGATTTAAAAATCGAATAAATGATGTTTTACCTTCTTGAAGAAAAAGTGGTTTGCCAAGTGGTTCAGTACCATAGGGTTGCTAGGGTCAATCGTGTAGGCTCTGGAAAGAAGCTGCACACCATTTTTGATGGAATCAGCCTAAAAGAAAACATGTACTAGAGTGGAGTGGAACCATCACTTTACCAGCACGTCCAGTTTTTTTTAGTTTCAAGAAATAAGGTCCCATGCCTGCAATTCAATACCATAGGACAGGTTGCTATTCTTCATCTCAAAGTTGCAAAGTTCCCAATAAGGAAGTACCTAACTGTTGCCATTTCGTTTTTTGTTAACAACATATATTTGGTACCTGTCTTAATAACTTATGCTCACTTCGAGGACAAAGAAGGGAAAACATATTTTTAGGATATTTATTTTTATTGATAAGTATGAGCATTTTGCCTGTGTATGTGAATAACTTGTGTGTACAGTGACTGTGGAGGCAGAGGAACTGCAATTATAGGTGGTTGTGAGCTACAGTGTGGGTGCTGGGAACTGAACTCAAGTCCTCTGCAGGAACAGCAAGTGTTCTTAACTGCTGAGCCATCTCTCCAGTTCCTTCTTACAGTTTTTGAACGTTCATTTTTAATGCAATCCCCATTTGCATCTCAGTATTTGATTTTGTGTGTGAGTATGGGGTGTGTCTGTCATTCAGTTCTTGCCTGAGGTTGTCTACTTATTAGTCTTTGCCTCAGCTGTCTTCTTGGTGTGGCAGCCATTTTACCTTGCTAACAGAACACAGCTTTCTTCCTTCCTTCCTTTCTGACACAGGATCTCACCACATATCTCTGGCCGGACTGGAACCCTCTATGTATATCAAACTGGCCTGAAACTCACACATCTGCCTACCTCTGTCTCCTGAGTGCTAGGATTGAAAGTATGACTCACCATGCCTGGCCTCAGAATAGGTTTTGTAATCTGTGAGACCTTTTGATTTCTGGAAGGAAAGCTCCCTTCCCCTTTTCCAATCCCAGGTGACAAATCATGATTGAACTAAACTAGTCAAGATAATCTATTCTCCTTCTCTAAAGATTGGCCTAAGGCAGAAATTCTCACTGGGGACAATATCTGTTTTTGTCACTACTGTGGAGATGGTACTGCCATTCAGGGGTAAAGGCCAGAGAGGCTGGTAAACATTCCATGAGAGAGAGGACAATTACTCACATAAAGAATTATGCAGCTCACTGTCAACAGTGCTGACACTGAGAAACACCGGCAACCATTTGGACAATCAAATAAACAGGTGGGACAGGAACTGCCTTCATATATTGGCCAGAACTTCCGAGAGAAAGCCCTAGGGGAAAGCTTCTTGCTTCCTTCCCTCCTGTGAGACTAATGGAACAAGCAGACACCTGGGGCTGCACACCATCTTAGGAATATGAAGTGACAGATACAGGGAAAAGTCACACACTAAGGAGGGGTTGACATAAAGTTACTGAAAATCCCTGAGTTTGGTGATATTGTGGTATCAAATTTGAGACCTTAGACACTTGTTTAGTAAACTATAAAAATGTTAATGTTTAAGTCGGTTGAGTGTGGGTTTCCTACTTTGTCAAAAGCATTCCAGACAGATTTATGCGCCTGCAAGCTCTCATCTGAAATTCTAAACCTTAGAAAGTTCTAAGGCCATTCTGGAGGTGTGTGTGTGTGTGCCACATTCACACAAGTGCTGGTTTTAAAAGCAAACTCACGTGGTGGGGACCCCTTTCCCTAAGCTGTGAGGCTATCTTCATATGGCTATGCTATACAAATGCGTTTGCTCTGGGGCTGGTGCCTGCAGCACAGGCACCACCCTTCTATCTATAACCTGAAGTCTTGATTTCGGAAGCATAACTTGTTCTAGCAGTCCTAGACAAGGACAGCCGGCCTAGCAAACCAGAAGCTAGACACCGTCTTCCTGCCATACCTCTTTATTGTTGAGTTCCAGAACAGCCAGTCCAACCAGTGCTCCCACACACTTAGAGTTGAGTTCCAGGGCTCTGCTGAATGCTAGTCGAGCTTTCTCCAGCTTGTTAAGTTTGACAAAGCAATGGCCCATTCCTAAACGAACTTCCGCTAAAAAATAAGTAAAATCAAGTCATTTGTCCTGTCAACCTAGGACACCTTAAGAGTTCAATTTCCAGTATCTGGACTCCTTAAGACCTGTTGGCCTACCACAAACTTGATTTCACTAGTAGTTAGACCGTATCATTCCAATCCTTCTCTCCTCTTCTGGGTACCACTCTTACTATACAACAGAAGAACCATAATACTGGCATTTTTCTTATCTTGTAGCACCCACTGCAGTAAACCACCACCACTGGCTCCATTTCTATTTAAAAATTATTATGTATATGTGTGTGCACACACATGCAGTGAGCACACATATACACTGGTGCATGCAAGAATAACTCTAGTATTTAAATAGAGACTAAAAACGCCATCAAGACCTTCAGACTGTGTCTGAGTACACACAGCTGCCGTCATTCACTTCTGAGCTATGCTGACACATCTACCTCATTTCAAGGTCCTATCAGGGCACACATGCCCTCCCTAAGGCTACACTCCACTGGTCATGGGATCCATTCTCATCTGTGTGAAGACAGCAGACAGTGCTGCCTGTCATTCTTCCTGTTACAATATTCTTCCTCTCTGGACCACTCTCAGCCATATTCAAACACTCTACCATCTTACAGAAGTGCTTCTTGCTCCTGTTTCCTTTCTGGTGGCCAGCCCACTCCTGTTCTTCCTGACAACAGACTCCTCCAAGTGCTGCCTCTAATCCCTTTCTTCCATTTCCTCTGGCATCCACTCTAGTGAGGTGCTATGCCCACCATCCTACTAAAACTGTTTTATAAAGGTCACCAGTGATTTGCACTGTGCTAAATCCAACCATCAATTCTGCCCATTTCACTGGCCTAACCATAGAATTTGACACAGTCTATCACCTTCCCCTTGAGAAATGTTTCACATTTGGCTTCAAGGACATTACTTTGAGTTTTTTCTTCTTATCTCTGGTCACTCCTTAGTCTGCTTTTTAGTCTGCTTTTCTGAGTCTTCCATATTCCTAATCTCTACACTTTAGAGCAGCTGTTCTCAATTCCTTTGGGAGTTAACTGACCCTTTCAAAGGGTTTGCCTAAGACCATCAGAAAACAGATATTTACATTACAACAGTAGCAAAATGACAGTTCTGAAGTGGCAAAGAAAATAACTTGGTTGGGGTCACCACATGAGGAACTGTATTAAAGGTGGCAGCGTTACGAAGGATGAGAACCACTGCGCTCAGGGATGCAGGGCCCTCTTTCCTGGGCACACTTCCTCCCCTTGGGTCTTCATGCACTCTCCAGGCTTTTGCACCATCCATATACTGGTGACTTCTTTGATGAACTATGAGACACAAGTCTGCCCTCTTGTGCCTCAGATAGGCATTTCAACCTTTCATGTCTAAAACTAGTTTCTCTTGAACTGTTTTACAATGTAGTAAAATGTAACTCCACTCCTAAAACAGTCTGTTCGGCCTTTGATTCTTGCTCTTTTTGCTCCAATCCGCTCTCTTTCAAAACACTAGAACGTAAGCACATGTGCCACCACTGTTGCCACCCTAGCTGTGAACTTTAATAATCTGTGACCCAAACACTTGCAGGAGCCTTCTCCCCAGTTCACATTACCTCTGTGCTTGCCCACTCACCCCACATCCCACTCTAGTCTGCATCTAGTTCAACAGTGCTCTTAAACCTAAGTCAGATCACACCGCTCTTCTGCCCAAAGCCCTCCAAGGCTTCTCCGTCAAAAGCTTGAAGTCTCTATACAGTCTCAGACACTCAACATGAGAAGCATCAGGCAGCACACAGCTGATCTCCTTTCTCCCATCCATCTCCACTCTGGACACACACACACAGTACTTCTCAAACCTGCCAAGCAGTTTCTGAGGACCTTCGTACCTGCTGTGCTCCTTCGGAAATGACACTCTCCCATCTATCTGTATGATCCTTGGTCACTCTAGCACTTTCTAGCCCCAAGTTTCCCCGGCTACCCTAAGTAACTCCCAGTGCTTCTCATAGCCCTATTTTGCTTCAAGTTCTCAATTTTTACCAATACCTTTTACAGCATCTATTTTTCTCATTTAATTCACTAGAAGATGAATTACATGAGAGGGCAGGAACTCCTGTCTTTTGGTTCACTGCTGCATTTTCTGCACAGAACAGTGCCTGGCACATAGTTGATGTACACAAAAATACACTGAATGAAAAATATTTGGGAAGAAAAGTAGCATAGCTCAAAAATATGATACGATCTGCCATCCAGGTTTTTCTGTTTGTTTCAGTTTTTCTAAACAGGGTTTCTTTTTGTAATAGCCCTAGCTGTCCTAGAACTCAATTCATAGACCAAGCTGGTCTTGAACTTGCAGAGATCCACTGCCTCTGACTCCTTAGTGCTGAGATTAAAGGCGTGCATCACCACTGCCCAGCCAGGTTTTAAATCAAATAAAACACCAAGAAAAAAATATCTTGCGCGTGTGTGCATATGTGTGTGTGTGTTGTAGGGATAACATTGATATTGGGTGTCTTCCTCAATCCTTCTCTATTTAATCTATGCAGAGTCTCTCAATGAAACCTGAGCTCACCAATTCTGGTGAGTGTCATTAGCTGGCTTGTGCCAGCATCCCATCTCTGTCTTCTGAGTGCTGGGATTACAGATGGCTGCCACACCCACCTGGCTTTTCTATGGGAGCAGGAGATCTAAATTCCAGGCTTACTCTTAGGCAGCAAGTACTTTATGCACTGAACCATTTCTCCAACCCCAGAACAAAATAACTTTGAAAGTGTCATTTCATTACTCCTAAAGTATCTTTTTATAATTAATTTTCAACATTTAATTTGGATCACAAACAGCTTAGAATTAAAATTTTCCCTTACCTGGACATCCTGGGTTAGTACGCAATGCTTTTTTATAGTAAGCAAGAGCTCCTCTATAATCCTTCTTGTTAAATGAAATGCAAGCTTTCCCTGTGGTGATTTAAACAAACAAACATTTTCTGTCGATTAAAGAACACAAATCTACTGCTTTACACTAATTTATATCTTAGTAAGAAATACTTCAAAATAGTGAACTAACATATTAAAATGTGTTTTCCACAGGTTGTGCATTAATTTAGTTCTAAAAGTCTTTATGTAAAATAACAATATAAATAGCTAGCTTGTAGTTATCTACGAAAAGATTATTTGTTGACTCCTTGGAAGCAAACAATAACTTATTCTACTTTGCTTTCAATTGCTGTGATAAACACCAGGACCAAAACAACTTGGGGGGGAAAGGGCTTATTTTAGCTTACAGTTAGTCTATCACGAAGGGAAGTTAGGACATGAACATCAAGCAGAAACCTGGAGGCAGAAAATAAAGCAGGGGCCATGGAGAAATGCTGCTTACTGGCTTGCTCCTCCTGACTTGCTCAGCCTGCTTTCTTTCTTTTTTTTTTTTCCAGACAGGGTTTCTCTGTGTAGCTTTACGCCTTTCCTGGAACTCACTCGGTAGCCCAGGCTGGCCTCGAACTCACAAAGATCCACCTGCCTCTGCCTCCTGAGTGCTGGTCTTAAAGGCATGCGCCACCAATGCCCAGCATCAGCCTGCTTTCTTTATACCACCCAAAACCACCTGCCCAAGGGTGGCACTGCTCCAATGGCCTAGACTCTTCTCTATCAATTATCAATCAAGAAAATGCCCTACAGACTTGCCTACAGGCAACCTGATAGAGGTTCCTTTTCCCATTTGATTCTACCTTGTGTCAAATTGATAAAAAACTAACCAGGACTCTCTATATAGACATATACACACACACATACACAATTAGCTTATTATACTCATATATATCACTATATATATTATAATACAATATATATAAAACACACACGTATATATTGTATTTTATATATATATATACACACACACACACACACATACATAAAAGCTTCCAATAACGCTGATCAACTAGATTCCTAAGGTTCTTGCTGAAGAGCACTCACCAAGAAGGGCTGGAATATTGTTTGGAGACTGGTTAAGTACAAAATGAAACTGTGCATCAGCCTGATCCATTTTGTCACCTTCGAGCAGGCAGAAGCAGGCTCTTCCCAACAAATGGTTCTGTAATATACAGACTTTACTAAGACTAGAGGCAATTTACCAAAAGCATGCCAAACGATGCCAAGCAAGCACAGCGGGTGGAAGCATAGCATTGCTCTGTAATCGACCAGTGTGGTTGCCAATGAAAATCTCTAAGCACAGATGAAAAGCTTACCTGGAAATGTAAATCTGTGCTGGTAACAACGACAAAACAAAGGCCACAATTCTTAAAATCTGCTTGAAATTCACCTGAGAACGCTGGGATTATCGACTCAACATGTACATATTTACTAAATCTGCCCAAATTTAACAGTAAAAGGACTAATACAATTCTGATTTTAATAAACCCTCCTTTTTGACTATTATCAACAGTTATTTTAGTAAAAATTCTTTCACAAAGAATCCGCTACACTCATATTTTGCTTTCATGTGGCATTTTGTGTTCTCATAAATTCAGACAAATTTGACTTACCTGATCATACATAATAATTTTATCAGCCATCGTATACAACAAGGTTGCCTGTGTAATAAGGTCCTTTTTATTGTCTTTGTTCTTTTCTTTCCGAGCCTGTTGCACATAGTAGGCTGCCAATGTATCCAAGCAAGTCATCTGGTCTTTCTCATGGTCTCGATAGTCCAAATTGCCATCTATTCGTGCGGCTTCCAGCAACTTTACAAACTCTTCTGTCTTCCCTTGCTTGTAGTACTCCAGCTAAAGGGAAAGGATGGAATTAGTATCACTAAACATGTGTCCACATACAAAAACTACACAAATGTTTATAGAACCTTTATCTGGAATAGTAAAAAACTGGAAGCCAACTATTGATTAACAAGTGAATCAATAAACCAGTTGTTGTATATCTCTGTGATGAAAGGAGTGAACCATTGACAGCTACCACAACATAAATAAATCTCAAAATAATTACGCTCAAAGAAGCCTGGCCATCAAAAGAATACATACTGTGTGATTCTACTTTTTTTAAGACTCTAAAAAATACTTAACAATAAAAATGCAACTAGAGGGGCTGCAGAGACGGCTCAGTGGTTAAGAGCACTGGCTGCTCTTCCAGAGGTCCTGAGTTCAATCCCCTGCAACCACATGGTGGCTCACAACCCTCTATAGTTGGATCTGATGCCCTCCTCTGGCATAAAGTCGTACATGCAGATAGAGCACTCATACAAATAAATAAATAAACAAATAAGTAAGTAAATAAATAAATAAATAAATCTTTTAAAAAATGCAACTAGAGCAGATCAGTCGTGGCTGGAAAGAGAAGGGCTGGGAAAGAACAGTGGAAAGAACTCTGGGGGACGGACACATTCACTGACTTCACAGGTACACCCAGACTCAACATCAAATGGTATAGTTCACACATGAATGGTTTATCACAGGCCAGCTAGACTTGAATAACACCATAAAAACTGGAATCACCAAAGATACTTCTTTTTCTCACCTGGTAACAGTTTAATCCCAGTACTGAGGAAACAGAGACAAGTGGATCCTGGGAGCTTTTTGGCCAGTCACTCTAAATGAAGTGGGGAGTTCTGTTTAGTGAGAGACCCTGTCTCAAAAAACAATGTGAAGCCAGATGTGGTGGTTCACATATTTAATCCCAGCATCTGGGAGACAGAGGCAGATGGATCTCTATGAGTTTGAGGCCAGCCTGGTCTACATAAGATCTGGACCAGCCAGGGCTACATAGTGAAACACTGTCTCCAAAAAAAAAAAAAAAAAAAAAAAAAAGAAAAGAAAAGAAAAAAAGTGGACAGCCAATGTTGACCTCTGGCCTCCACATGCATACACAAGGGCATGTACACAAACCCCACATGCAAACACATGCATACACCATACTACTGTCACCCCACAGTAAAGAATAAATAAAATCTTAGCATGCTACAAGAGACATTGTCTCAAAACCAACAAACCAACTTGGACTCTGGTTTTGGTTCTACCAAAAATTACCAGTGACTTTGGACAGATGAGTAACTTCCCTAGGCATCTGTTTCATGGAACTACATGCCATTAATACAAATTCTACCAATTAATAACAAGATTAATGGCTTACTCTCTAGGGAATAGGAACACTTGACTCTTCTAGCCAAAAGGGCAATGTCTGTCAGCAATACTACTTCTTTGAATATCCTATGTGAATGGAATACACTTTTTGTTGTTGTTTTATTTGGAAACAGTCTCAATATGTAGCCTAGAGTAGCTTCAAACACGTAATCCTCCTGCCTCACACCCTGAAATGCTGGCTTTTAGAAGTATGCCACTGCACCCAGCTGGGAAGATAACCTTTGTGTAGACATCTCAGGAAACAAAAGCACAAACCAACATACAGAACTATGATAAACTGAAGGTCTGCACAGCAAAGGGGTCAACAGAGTGAAGGAGAGAGCTTACAGAATGGAGAAAAGCTAGCCTAGCAGAGAATTCATCTCTAGAATACATAAAGAACTCAGAAAACAATAAGCAAACAAACACAAGAATAAGTAAGCCAAGAAACAAACGAACTAATACTATGATAGATACTTTCCAAAAGGGCAAGTACAAACTACTAAGAACATAAAAATGCTCAGCATCTTTAGCCATCAGGAAAGTGGATATGAAAAGTACATTGTGAGCTGGGCATGGTGGCACAAACCTATAAGACCAGCACTCGGGAGGTGAAGGCAGGAAGATCAGGAGTTCAAGGCCAGCCTCAGCCAAATAGCAGGTTTGAGGCCAGCCTGGCTACATGAGATTCTGTCTCAAACAACAACATCGCCCCAAACAATAACAACATCACCCCAAACAATAACAACAAACCAGGGGATGGAAAGATGGCTCAGTAGTTAAGAGCATTTGCTGCTCTTACAGAAGACCTGGGTTTAGTTACCAGCAAACTGAATGGTAACTAACAACTGTCCATACCCCCAGTTCTAGGGGGTCCAATACCCCCTTTGGCCTCTGAAGGCAGCAGGCATACATATGGTACCCAAGCATTCATGCAGCCAAAGCACTCACACACATAAAATAGAATAAATTTTTAAAAACAAAACAAAAACTCCAAAAAAATAAAACCAAATTAAAATCTAAAAATTATACGGAGATTCTACCTCACCCTAGTTAAAAAGACTATATTCAATAACTACAACAATAACAAACGTTGGCTAGGACCATAAGACCCACCTACACCACTTCTAATCTCATACCCAAAGGTAATAAAGTCAACATATATGAACACTACCTGCACATCCACTTAAAAAAATTATTTATTTTTATTTTCATGTGCATTGGTGTTTTGCCTACATGTACATTTGCATGAGGACACCAGATCCCCTGGAACTAGAGTTACACACAATTGTGAGCTGTCATGTGGGTGTTGGAAAATGAACCCAGACCCTCTGGAAGAGCAGCCAGTGCGCTTAACCACTGAGCCATCTCTCCAGCCCCCTGTACATCCACTTTTAGTGTGGCACTATTCACAATAGCCAACCTATGGAATCAGCCTAGGTGCCTATCAATAGATGAATGGTAAATATACTACTACCCATATAAGAGAGTTTCATCTAGCCATACAGAATGAATCATGTTATATTCAGGAAAATGAATGGAACTAGAGGACACATATGGTGGTATTGTGTTCCCCAAAATATTGTGCACCCTAATAAACTTATCTGGGGTCAGAGACAGAACAGCCACAAAGGCTAGAAAATGGTGGCACTCACACCTTTAATCCTAGCACTCCAGAGGTAGAAATCCCTCTGGATCTCTGTGAGTTCAAGGCCACATTGGAAACGGCCAGGCATGGTGACACACGCCTTTAATCCCAGAAAGCGAGCCTTTAATCCCAGGGAGTGGTGGTAGAAAGCAGAAAGATATATAAGGCGTGAGGACCAGAAACTAGCAGCATTTGGCTGGTTAAGCATTGAGGCTTTTGAGCAGCAATTCAGCTGAGACCCATTCTGGATGAGGACTCAGAGGCCTCCAGTCTGAGGAAACAAGACCAGCTGAGGATCCGGCGAGGTGAGATAGCTGTAGCCTGTTCTGGTTCTCTGACCATCCAGCATTTCACCCCAATACCTGGCCCGGATTTGTTTTTATTAAAAAGAACTTTTAAGATTCATGCTACAGACACATATAAAAGGTCAAGCATTATACAGATATTTTGTATGTGAAGCTGGAATTGAGAAGAGAAAAAAAGGATAACCTCAAATTAGATGGATTACTAGAAGGGGCAAGGGGGTGAGGGGGATAAGAGGGTGTAGATATGACCAACACTCAACATACGGATACATGGAAACGTCTCAGAGAAATACATTAATATGTATACTGTGCATTAATAAGTATATATTTTTTAAAATGTATACTTGGAAGACTGAGCAGGAAGACTAAAAGTTCAAGGCCAGCCTGGGCAACTTAGTGAGACTGTCTCAAAATAAAAGGTAAAAACAAGGCTGGGGATATAGCTTAGTAGATGAGTGTTTGCCTAGCATTTGCAAGGACCTAGGTTCAATCCACAGGATACTTGAGCAAAAGATAGGCCCAATTCCAAATCTATTTTTCTGACCATCAAGGTAATAGTAGGAACTTCTTATGTATCCATGTGAAAGCCACTTGTGGCATACCAGTTTAGGATTGAGTATAGAGTTTATCTTACCAGTTCTCATAAAAAGGAAACATGGTGCCAGGCAGTAGAGAGTCCAAAGTTTTAGGCTCTCAGATCGGATTTTACTGAGAATTTCCAGTAACATTCATATTATGGAAGTAGCAACAAATAAGACAAAAAAGCATAAAGCTAAAATAAATTTTACCCCAAAGGACTTTTTTATGTTAGCTTAGAGACCAATCACCTTCTAGATGTTTTAAAAGAAAAGTTATGGAAAGCAATATTTATACCATCTATACATAAGTTAAGCTTCATTGAACTACCTCTAAGTAATTAAAACCTCAATATAGAAAACTATTTACCTTAAATGAATCTTGCCTTTATCAACAAACATTAATTTACCAGTGGAGTTGTTCTTAGGAAACTGCCCTTATTGTTTGTTCCATAAATAATAATATAATTGTCTTTTCTTTTCTTTTTTTCTTTTCTTTTTTTTTTTTTTTGGTTTTTCAAGACAGGCTGTATAGCCCTCACTGTTTTTTATAGACCAGGCTGGCCTCAAACTCAGATACTGACCTGCCTCTGCTTCTTCAGTGCTGGGATTAAAGGTATGAGCCAACATGCCTGGCAAAATGATTTTCATACAGGTGATTTCATAATTGTAATCATGATTGTACAACTGATCTGGTTTAATCACGTGGGCTATTACTGTACTTGAAAACCAAAATCATATTTTTCCAGTCAACAAATAATCTGCTATATGAATACTGACCGCCAAAGCAATCCATATGTGCAGTTGTGTGTGCTCCTGCTTCAGAATACTGATAACTTCATCTCCCTCCGGTAACTGATCGAAGTCAAGTTCAATGACCTAAAACACAAAATAAATGTTTCATCTCCCTTTTTAAATTCACAATTTTTCTTTTCTATGTTTTCTGAATGCTCATCAATATGTATATACAAAGGGTGTGTACTCACTTTGAATGGGGTGAACTAATACATGTTCATATTTGGGGAACACATGGCAAATACGTTGTAGTCTGATTTGGTCAAAGCATACAGAAGCAGACAAATCCTGTTATCTGTCTTCACATCACTAAAACTATAAAATTCCCAATGACTTGTTTACTCAAAAACAAAATGAAACCTTGTATAACCTATAATCCAATAAAGTGCTGATGCCATAGGTCTGAGGTCTTGAGAAACACGACCCCAGGGGCCAGGCAAAGTTGAATGCTAACGTAAACAAAAATCATGGAGGCAGCATTTCGTGTCACATACATGCCTGAAATACGGACACCAAAAATAAGAAGAAAAGTGTTCTGGAATATACCCAAGACTACCGGATTTTAGAAATAAATTCTACCTCGATCAAAAATTAAAGTGTGAAATATCCAGTAAGACTGAAGCAACGCTGGAGCTTTTTCAGACAAACCGCTCATCACCCATGGAGGAGAGTGGGTCACTGCCACCCAGCACACCAGAGCGGCTAAATCTCGGGCCCCTTATCTCCGTGAGGGAGTTGTGTAAGAGTGTGCCTTGACAGCCTCTTCTTCGAAGGCACTAAGAGCGACCTCTGAGATCCCCAGGGAGGTTTAAAAAAAAAAGGACTGCGAGTTTGAGCAGCAGGTAGAGGCGGGGGTGGGGGTGGGGGAGGGTCATCGAGCGCCCTCTGCAATCTGTGAGGTTTACCCGGCGCTCACACCCCTGCGCCCCGGAATTAGGAAGACAGCCGAGCCGAGGACTGTCAACATGGAGAGGCTGCAGGCGAACTTTCCCGAAGTCCTTGCAGCTAGAAAGGCGAGCAGGTGAGCGGAGCCTCGGTCGGGGAGCTGGACCGCCGCTCTCCGCTCAGAAACCAAGGGGAGCAAAGTCGGCGCTGGGATCGTCCAAGTTCACAGCCCTCCCCCGCTCCACACTCGGCACCCACCTCGTCAGTATCCCGGAGGGGAATCTCGATGGAGCCCCGAGACATGGCGAGCTCGGAAAGCGGGCACTTCTCACCCCGCCGCTCGGCAGCTCGCTGTCCTGGCTTCTAGCCGTGTAGAGGTTACCACACCTCACACCCCGCCGAGCTGCCTGAGCTCCGGCTTCTCTCTCCTAGTCGGCCGCTGAAACAACGAGCCTCCGACTGCGACAAGCCACTTCCGGAGGCCCCGCCCCCTGTCCCGGAAGCACTATCAAGAGGGCGTGTCCCACGCGAGCTCCGCCCTGTGGCTCAGGCGCGTCCGTCTCTGGATAGATTGATCTTTCCGAGGTTGTCGGTGTGCCGGCCGCAGGTGACCCGAACGCCTTCGGGAGCCTGGCGTCTGCCCCTAAGTTGTCCGAACCGAGTTCAGCACAGGCCCGCGCCGAGGGGAGAAAAAGCGTGTAAGGCGAAAGCACGCCCCCCGGTGGGGAGGGGCCTCTGATGACGAATTCTATGGGCGGGCCCTCGCCCGGGCCCTCTAAGTTTCTTGGGGCCAACTCAGTCATTTATCAGTGCCGCAGTCGTTTAGTCTTTCTCCATCCTGTTTGTGCAAGTCACACTGGTGTATCTTTGTGACTAGTTTAAATAGACATGCGCAGTGAATTCTGAAGTTATGGTGGTACTGCACAAATTATTATTTTTATTTGTTGCGTGTATTTGTATATGGGGACATGCAACCGATGGTGTGGCGAATGGAGGTCAGGGGACACCTTGTGGGAGTCAGTTTTCTCCTCCTATTCACTCTGTAGGTCCTGGGGATCGAACTCAGGTCGTCAGGTTTGGCGCCAGGTGGTTTTACCCGCTGAACTATCTTGCCGGCCCTATTTTATTTTTTGAGACAGGGTCTCACTACCCCAGGCTGACCTGAAACTCCCGACCCTTCAGCCTTCTGATTGCTGCGCTTATGGACATGAGCTTGGGCACCTGGGTTTTATATATTTCTTTATGTACTTATATTTCTTTTGAAGCACAGTTAAAAGGCACTGCTAGATTTTATTTAAATAAAATCAGAAGAATTTGGTTAAACCTAAATAATAGAACTATAGAACTTGAATGAAAATATTTTAGCTAATGATTTCATTATAGAAGAGTATTAAATTAGTTTTCTGTGTTTGGGGTAAAAAAGTAAATAAGGGAAGAATCTCAAATAAATAACCAAGTCAAAAGTGCCAGTTTAGCTGGGCATGGTGGTGAACGCCTTTACTCCAGCTCTCAGGAGGCAGAAGCAGGTGGATTCTGTGAGTTTGAGGCCACCCTGCTCTATATATCGAGTTCCAGCCTAGTCTGGGGCTACATAAATAGAGAGACCCTGTCTCAAAACAAAGAAAGAAACAAACAGCCACCCCCCTCCCACCTGCAAGTGTTTTCAGAGATGTCCCTGCTCGTCCTGCCCATTTCTTCTGCTGAGCCAAAGCCACTATTACCCTTTGTCATCGTTCTGACTCTTCATCTACTTTGCTTCCAAGCTCCAACCCAGTTTCAGCCATATTATACACTTTGGTTTAAAAAAATACCAATTCCTTTATGATTTTTCCTTTCAACTCCCTTAAAACCCCTGAGGAGAAACTGTATTAAATTTATGTTTTGACTTAATGGTTGTGTAACTATTTAAATGTTTAGATCAGTGCTTGCCAATATAAATATAATGCTAACTACATATGTAATTTTTAAAAGGTTTTTTTTAGGCCAGGTCTTGCTATGTAACCTTGAATGGCCTGTAGCTCACTAAGTAGATCAGGTTGGTCTCGAACTCGCAGAGATCCATCTAGCTCTGACTTCCCAATGCTAGGATTAAAGGTGTGTGCCATCATGCCCATCATAACTTAAAACATTTTAGCTGCCATATTAAAACATAAAAGCCAGATGAAATTAAATGTAGTAATACATTTTATTTAAACTCAGTAAATCCAGAATTCAACTAATTGTCAATATTAAAGTTGAGTTTAAGTTACATTTTTCCTATTAGTTCTTGGAAATCCAGCATGTATTTTAAACATATATACTTAGTTGTTTAACTTTATTTGGGTCAATATATTTCCTAACATTTATATTTGGAAAAGAAGTCATATACCTCATTTTTTCCATAATTTCAATGAATTAAAACTAAAATTCAACCCTCCACTTGGATTAGCCATATTTCAAGTGTCCTCATATGCAATTAATGAATACTGTTTTGGGCACTACAGTAAATTCTGTTCATTACATGACAAATCACATAAAATACACACCACGGTGGGTGGTAGATGGTAGCTGTTATTCTACATGTCCCAAAGCCTCCAGGATATGAAAGTCCCTGTTAGCTGTTCAGTCTTTCTTTACTGATAACCAAGGATGTCCTAACTGATAATGTAGAGCTCAATGGTTGGCCAAGAGGGGAACTTGATTTAGATTGGGATTTGGAAGAAGTGATAATTAGTGGGAAAATTAGTATGATTTGAGTGGGTGTGTACTAGAAAGAAGAGCTTCATGAATCCAGAAGACAGCCATGAGATTGCAACATAATATGTGAGTGAAGAGTAGGTGAAGCCATGTAGAGCAAAGGCTATGGCATCAGTCCGTGCTGATGTCCCACAGCAGGAAATGCAAAATACTTCATGCTCTGAAGTAAACCATATAGGACAATGTCTAATGGTGGGCAGAAGACCACCTGCCACAGTCCTGAGAAGTGCGACCTAAGGTACAACTCCTGACATAATGCAGCCAGCCTTTTGTCTTTCCCTGACTGTGGCTGACACTGATTAGATCAGAGGTTTTAAAGCTGTAGGTCCAGTTTCAGGGTGATTTCAAAGAGTGTTTCAGTTAGCTTGATTTCACAATGTCTAGTCACAAAATGCTGAGCTCCACTGGATGTATCACATGCCTTCAATCCTGACCCCCAGGAAGCAGAGAGGTGGATCTCTGTGAGTCGGCAGCTAGCCTGGTCTACATAGAGAGTTCTAGATCAGCCAGGGCTAAATATTGAGAACTCAACTAAATCAAAACCAAACAAATAATGACAGCAACAAAAATTCTGAGCTTCATGTTGGGCCTCTGTGCCCCAGGTCAGGGTGAAGCATGAGCATGCTTAGTAACTGAGGATGTGAAATAAACATTCAGAACAGCTTGGGAGGGCTGCTCTCTGGTGTTGACATTGTGGTCGGTGGCTGTGTTAAACACAATGAGCCAACCTGGAAAACAAGCTACTTCAGATGTTGGCACAATAGCTAAATATTAAAAGTTGTAAGGAATATTTCATCTTAACAAAGAATATTTTAGTTCTTCAATTAGATATCTTTTAAGTATGAGTACACAAAAGGAAATATTTTGAGCAGTTTGTATACGTTGTTAAGAAGGTTTGAGAAGCTGTAAATAGTTTGATATGGCTTAAGTAATAAATAATAAGGTACTTCAGGCTGGGGTAAAGAAATTTATTTGCTCACAGCTCTGAGAGGCTGAGAGTTAAAGACCAAGATGTTGGGGCTGGTTATTTTTCCCCTGAGGTGACTTTTCTTGGCCTGTGTGTGCATGTTTTCTCCCTGTATGTTCATACAGTCATTCCCTCTGTGGGTCAAAGTTCTTCCTGCACCTGCCTATTAGGACATCACTCAAGGTGGACTAGAAGTCACCTTAATGACCTTATTTTATTTTATTTTATTTTTTTTTTTTTATTAATTATGTGTACAGTATTCTGCCTGCATGTGTCCCTGCAAGCCATAAGAGGGCACCAGATCTCATTACAAGTGGTTGTGAGCCACCATGTGGTTGCTGGGAATTGAACTCAGGACCTCTGGAAGAGCAGCAGGTGGTGCTCTTAACCTCTGAGCCATCTCTCCAGCCCTAATGACCTTATTTTAATATAATTACATTGTCAATGATTCTGTCTCTAAATGTATTCTACATATTGGAATTTAAGACTTTAACATGGGAATTTTGTTTCAGCAGATTACAATAACCAGATTTTTTTCCTGTAAGGAGTCTTTCTCTGTTCTACCAGCCACCTCCCAGCTCTCAAATAATGACACGGAGATTTATTAATTATGAAAGCTTGGCCTTAACTTAGTTTTGTATGAAGTCTAAAATGGTCTTAAAAAATATTGGGGTAAATACTGAAAGATCAGAGAGACAAAGGAACAAGCCACTAGAGAATCTTCTCACCGCTACCGAATCCTCAGGCCAAATGGAAGGTGAGATCCTATCTCCACAAATCCTTAGACTGCAAGTCTCTGAGTCCTCAGCTGAAAAGGGGCTTCTGAGTCCTCAGCTGAAAAGGGGCTTCTGAGTCCTCAGCTGAAAGGGCTTTAGTTCCTGTCTCTTCATGCCTTATATGCCTTTCTCTGCCCAGCTTTATCACTTCCTTCCTAGTGCTGGGATTAGTGGTGTGTGTGCTTCCCAAACACTGCTAGCAAAGGCATGAGATCCCAAGTGCTGGGATTAAAGGTGTGTGCCACCACTGCCTGGCTCTGTTTCTCTCCTAGACTGAATCAATCTCATGTAGTCCAGGATGGCTTTGAACTCACAAAGATCCAGACAGATCTCTGCCTCCCCTAGGATTAAAGGTATGTGCCACTACTGCCTGGTCTCTATGTTTAATCTAGTAGTTGGCTCTGTCTTCTGATCCTCAGGCAAGCTTTATTTGATACACAATATATCACCACATTTCCCCTTTTTTGTCTAAAATAATAAAAGAAGGTTATAACTAATATAAGAAAAACCATATACAGTAAGTACAATAAGTATATACAATATATTGTCAAGAATTACATTAACAATGTCCAGTTCATTAACTTTTGACAGATTCAGAGAAAATACTCCATTATTTATCATATTTTGGTGAGTCCAAACTGATGTACCTAATTCACTTTCTATCCTAACTTGTATTACCAACCAAAAACTATATTTTGATGTGTTCCAAACTTATACACTTTACACCTCTTTAGTGAGTTTCTTTTCTGAATTTGTTAACAAGGAAAACTATAACTATAACTGCCTGGTCTTCAACTCCCTCAGAGACCCAAGAAGGAAATAATGTTACCTAAGTAAACAAAAAGTGCAAACAAGCAACTTCCAAAAAATGTGAGAAATGTCAGAAACAGCTGGCTGCCTGGACAGACACTCAAGTTTCCTCTGCAATGTTGGGGCATCCATCTTCGGCCTACAGGCCTAGCATATCTGACAGATTTATCTGTGAAGCCAGATATTCTAAAGGACCTTTCTACCTT